GAAGTTAAAGAAAGCTTCTCCTTTTCCCTAATATATCTGTCACACCCTGGCTCTTAGGCTGCAACAAAAATATTCGAGAGCAGACAAGTTTGCAAGTAAAGAGTGAACAGTTTATTTTACAAACAGAATGTTAAAGAACAGAAACGATGTAGAAGTCACGAGTCAGTACTGTAAGCATGTTTGGATGTGTGGGAACGTCTGTAGCAACACAACAGAACAACCAGCAGCTGCGCCCGCAACGGGACGGAGCTTTATAGCTCCCAGCCACACAGGGCCCGGGTGTAGCTCATGCAGCCGACGAGCCTCCTCCCAGACCCACATCCTGCAAGAGAAGAGACAAAACAACGCAGGGGACACCAAGTGGCTGGGAGGGGTTGTCACATACAGTGAGGAAAATAAGTATGTGAACACCCTGCTATTTTGCAAGTTCTCCCACTTAGAAATCATGGAGGGGTCTGAAATCATTGTAGGTGCATGTCCACTGTGAGAGACATAATCTAAAAAAAAAAAATCCAACTAACTATTTATTTGTATGATACAGCTGCAAATAAGTATTTGAACACCTGAGAAAATCAATGTTAATATTTGGTACAGTAGCCTTTGTTTGCAGTTACAGAGGTCAAATGTTTCCTGTAGTTTTTCACCAGGTTTGCACTGCAGGAGGGATTTTGGCCCACTCCTCCACACAGATCTTCTCTAGATCAGTCAGGTTTCTGGGCTGTCGCTGAGAAACACGGAGTTTGAGCTCCCTCCAAAGATTCTCTATTGGGTTTAGGTCTGGAGATGGCTAGGCCACGCCAGAACCTTGATATGCTTCTTACAGAGCCACTCCTTGGTTATCCTGGCTGTGTGCTTCGGGTCACTGTCATGTTGGAAGACCCGGCCTCGACCCATCTTCAATGCTCTAACTGAGGGAAGGAGGTTGTTCCCCAAAATCTGGCAATACATGGCCCCGGTCATCCTCTCCTTAATACAGTGCAGTCGCCCTGTCCCATGTGCAGAAAAACACCCCCAAAGCATGCGTCATTCTTCTTCCTCCAAACACGGTTAGTGGAATTATGACCAAAAAGTTCTATTTTGGTCTCATCTGACCACATGACTTTCTCCCATGACTCCTCTGGATCATCCAAATGGTCATTGGCAAACTGAAGACGGGTCTTGACATGTGCTGGTTTAAGCAGGGGAACCTTCCGTGCCATGCGTGATTTCAAACCATGACGTCTTAGTGTATTACTAACAGTAACCTTGGAAACGGTGGTCCCGGCTCTTTTCAGGTCATTGACCAGCTCCTCCCGTGTAGTTCTGGCTGATTTCTCACCTTTCTTAGGATCATTGAGACCCCACGAGGTGAGATCTTGCACGGAGCCCCGGTCCGAGGGAGATTGACAGTCATGTTTAGCTTCTTCCATTTTCTAATGATTGCTCCAACAGTGGACCTTTTTTCACCAAGCTGCTTGGCAATTTCCCCGTAGTCCTTTCCAGCCTTGTGGAGGTGTACATTTTGTCTCTGGTGTCTTTGGACAGCTCTTTGGTCTTGGCCATGTTAGTAGTTGGATTCTTACTGATTGTATGGGGTGGACAGGTGTCTTTATGCAGCTAACGACCTCAAACAGGTGCATCTAATTTAGGATAATAAATGGAGTGGAGGTGGACATTTTGAAGGCAGACTAACAGGTCTTTGAGAGTCAGAATTCTAGCTGATAGACAGGTGTTCAAATACTTATTTGCAGCTGTATCATACAAATAAATAGTTAAAAAATCATACATTGTGATTTCTGGATTATTTTTTTTAGATTATGTCTCTCACAGTGGACATGCACCTACGATGACAATTTCAGACCCCTCCATGATTTCTAAGTGGGAGAACTTGCAAAATAGCAGGGTGTTCAAATACTTATTTTCCTCACTGTATCTAACAGAGACATCCCATTGAAACCTTCTGCTCACCAAGATTTTCACTCTGTCATCATTGAATGAATAAACGTAAACATGGCAATTGCGTGGCAGTAATCAGGGTCTGGGATTAACTCTTTCACTGCCTGCCCCTCTGGCAAGCAAGTTGTTTTTTTTTGTGTGACACTTTTGAAATTTTATCGTATAAATATAAATGTATGCGCAAAATGATGTAACAAAATTCAGCTCATTTAGCTCAATAATGTCGACATGCAGTGTTTGAGTTTACACATAAACAATACATGCAATACATGACTCCTGTTAACTCACCCAACCACACGTGTAGCGGAAGATGTGCATTTCCTTTAAGTTGCACACTACCGTAGACTATAAAGTGCTAAGGTTGTTAGCATGCATCTCTAGTTTGAAATGGTTTAAACGTAATCTGAGGATAATTGACTTGTTAGAGGACAAAGACATTTCCTGTGGAGGGCGGCAACATGGAGAGCAGCAGTCTGGACCAGAACTCGACAACACACACATATTTATATGTATGCACATAAACAAATACCTAGCTAAATATATGCATACGGAGGCTAACACACACACAGAATGAGTCTGAGTGTGTGTTAATGAGTGACCCAGCGTGGACATTGATGAGGCTCATTGATGATTAACATCTCATTAGCATCTCGTTAGCTGACAGGGCGGACTGTACGGACACAGGCAGAGGAGCAGCCACCACACACACACACACACACACACGCAAATCTATAACGGCAAGTATCGGTTTGACTAGGCAGGCGTGAGAGGTTAAAGGTCAAAACCAAACAGCACTTTCTATCTCACAACATGACAAATTCTACATTTCTCCAAACATCCACACCAAAGATGTTACTCTGTTAGGTAACTTGTGCACGTCGTCATGCTTTCAGTGCTGATTAATGTTCATCTCTGTGTAATATTTTTCTATATTTCATTGGCCTTTCTTTAGTATTTCATTCTCTTCTTTTCCTTTTCTGTTGTGATTTATCGTTCACTCTGTATCTCACACACTCATGCATACAATATTATTAACAGAGCGAAATCATACATATATATTCAGGGTATATACATACACACAGACATTGTGTGGCAGCAGCAGCAGCAGCAGGGAACCACATGTAATTAACCTGTCTGACCTCAGGAGTATTAATGCCTTTGTGTAAGTGTGTGTTCGAATCAGTGTATTGTGCTCAAGAAGTCGAGTGTGCTGCCATGATCTTCACATAACGACGGCATTAGACACACTCAGATCTGTGTGTGTCGTTTTTGTATGTGTGTGATTTGCTGCTGAAGTGTTCCGCCGTGATCTTCACATAAATACACCATTAGACACACCTAGCTGTGTGTGTGTGTGCGTGCAGACAGACGTTTCCATCCAGACCTCGTGTGTAGTACTGCAGTACTGTTTGAGGATACATTACTACCTGTGTTGGTGTTGGCATATTTACTGCTAATTTTATTTTAGATGAAATGTAAATGGATTCACTCGCTATATGGTTGCCTCTAAAATGGGAACACATTGGAACAAAGAAAAGTAGCGTCCATGTACACTGTTTTGTGCTAACAATCCCAGAATGCAATGCTTACCGTTGTGACTCTACACCTGGCAGTGATTATGCACAATGATGATGATTCCGAAGTGTCCGAAATCTCAATTTACTGCTCACTATTTAGTGAATTATCGCGCGTTAGTGACGTTTTGGAAACAGCCATTGTCGGTTAGTTGGTTTTATTTATCTGCATAATCGTTCTGCGAAAGCCTTTCAGTGGAGTAGTGGTACGTGACGTCACCCATTTGTTTGTCGACTGCCATTTTGAAGATTTGAGTTTGGCATTTTTGCTGGCCGCAGTAGCATCTTGTCAGTTACAACATAGCCACGCTAAGCATATCCTCTATTTTCCTCTAAATGGGACCATAATTTACTAAATAAACATCATGCTGTGTTGGCAAAGACATGAAACGACTGAGACCATAAACTAAGGAATGTGTTTACTGAGGTAATAAATCAGGTGAGATGTAGCCTCATTTTCTCATTAAGTTCAATGCAGTCGGACTTCTTTTCGCCCCCTGCTGGTTAATTAGAAATAATGCAGGTTTAAGGCGCTTCCACATTGCCTTCACTTTTCAGACCCGGAGGTTCCTGCTTGTAGTGGTACTGTAGTTTTGGAAGTAGATGTAATAGTAGGTATTGTAACTAGTATTGCGTGTGGTCCTGGTCACTGCAGCATGAATTATGGCAGAAGTTTTCACCAACTTACATTTGTCTGAGTTCAATCAGAGGATTTGTTTATCAAGGTCAGGTCGATATGTATGAGTGAAGGTCTTGCACAGAGTTGATCTTTGTTCACCTTGGACTCGTGAATTTGCGCGTTGCCCAATAGCAAACTGAAAAACATCAAGAAAGCTGGAGACAGTACGGCAGAGTTAACTTTGCTGCCAGTTTGTCCCAGTGGGTGACCGAGGTAATGCCACAGGAACAAAAAAAAAATCTGATGTGTAAAACCGACGAATGCCTGACAAGCTTAGTTATGACTCTTTGTACTTATGTTTGTGAACTTTCCAAGAGCCTAGCCTTTTGTGCGTATGATTTCATCTGAATGTAAAGCCTATAGGCAAAGCATGCAGCACAAAAGCATCAGTCACAGTTGGTAAGGTAAACTGCAGTATTGTAAGAGCTTGAGTAGGAGTAGTTTTAGTATTTGTAGCTGTAGTAGCAGTCATAGTATATGTAGTATCGGCCGATTAGCACCAGTATACCGTGCAGGTGTATCAGTGGTATTATATGTAGGGAGGTACATTTTATTTCTGTGAGCTGGAAGGGAAGCCGGCTAAATGAAGCGAAAGCAGCGTTCTTAGAATCAGAGGAGCAGTAGTTACTTCTGTCAACATATTTCATAAAAGGTTTCCCTGTCTTGTATGTCAAACCTTTTCCCCTTCTGAAATGAGTTATGAGCTCACCAACAAGCACTGACTTGTTACACTGCAAGTGGAACATTATTATATTTTGAAGTTTCTCTGAAGTAAATTTAACCCTCTCTCCTTTGTTTTTGTCTGTTTTCAGTCTCTGGACGGGTTTGTATTTGCACTAAACAAGGAGGGACGCTTCCTCTACATCTCCGAGACGGTCTCCATCTACCTGGGACTGTCACAGGTAAGTCATCCCACCTGCCCGTCTCTCTGTCTGTGATGTCACATTCTCAGTCTCAGTATTTTGGTTTCTTTCTCGGTCTTGCAGATTCTCTAGTCTACCTGTCTTCCTCTCTTCTCTCTCTCTTTCTCAGATTGTCTCTTTCTCAGATTGTCTCTCTCTCTCTCTCTCTCTCTCTCTCTCTCTCTCTCTCTCTCTCTCCACTCCTCTCTCTCTCATCATTACCAAAGACAATTCCCAACAAATTAAGGCTCATTTCAAATCTCATCAGCTCGTCGGACGGTTGTTGATTTGTGCAGCGAGCGACGGCGCATATTTTATTGCTTCGTGTGTGTGTGTGCCGGGGACACTTCATTGTACTTTGTCAGCTTGGTAACGAGTTCTGCGTCTCAATTGGTTCACTCTCCACCAGTTCCTGTTAATAGAGACTGGCGTCCACCCTGAAGGTCGACACATCGACCTTGGAGGCGCTAATAAGTCAGTATTGACAAGCTGTGTGTGTGTGTTGCAGAACTGAAAGGGATTCAAACCGCCACATTTGCTCGTTTGCCTCATAGCTTCTGTCAGCTTGGGTGCAAACTGCCAATATGTGTTAAAGTAAACAGGAAACACAGAAGTAACATGAGCTGTTAAATAACCTGCACTTGCACCTTTTGGCTTTTGTGTATTGTTAGTGTCATGCTGAAGAACAGCGTTTTTATGTCGTTAATTTTATCTTACGTTGTGTTGGAGTGTTTCTAGATATCTGGAATATGGATGTCAGCTGTCAAACAGAACTGGTTTCACACCCTACGCTGACATTGTTAAAAGGTCATATCATTTTCAGAGCTTCTTCTGTTAAAGGCGGCGCTGTTAATCAGCTGAGACTCCCACGGTGCTTGAATGCACCACAGCACACATGCCAGACACCATCTCCTCGGCAGACTTGTGCACACTCCGCTGAGCTCTCATCATTACAGTTGCATTGTACTAGTTTGTGCTTTAGACAAATCTGCAGCTTGAAAACAAGACGAGCGTCTCTGCTGATGTGCAGCACAGATCAGTTGGCATTTTAAGAGGTACACAGTAAAATCAGCATAAATTAACGCCGTCAGAGTTGATTTTAACACTTTAAAAGTGTTAGACATTGCTCTAAAGAGGATCATTTGTTTACTACACAAGCGTTAACCCCGCAACATTTTAAAGGTGTTAATATAGCTCTTCCATATTCCTGAAACAAATGCTTGGAAAATAAAGTTGGCAAAATAAAGAGGGTAGGGCTGGACAGTAAAACAATAACAATATAACAAATGTTCAATAAATATTCAATAAATGTTTGATTTGATTCACACAAGAAGTAGGATTGATTGATTTTTTTTTTTTTTTTTTATTAAGAGAAAGGACAGAAAAAAAGCTTTTACTTAATTTTACTTGTGCATATTTGTTGAAAAAGATTTTATCACAATTGTTTTGAATGTTCAACCTCAGGTTTGTGAAGTGATCCACTGACCATAAAGAAAAGTTTAAACCACAATTAACCATCAGGTTTCTTCAACTTTCACTGAGGAGCAAAAATCAGCATTTAAACTCAAAAGAAATAACGATTTGATAATTATCGAAAGATATGAAACTTTTTATCACGATAACATTTTTGTCCACATCGTCCGACCGTATAAGAGGGTCACGCTTTGTGTTTTAAAACATTTATTTTAACACTTCCACCTCTAAGAATCTGATTACTTTACATTAAAAAATGTAATAGAAATGAACAGATTAGTCTTGCATGCTAACCGCTAACTTGTTAAACAGGCGTTTAACAAGCCACAAGTTATGGTGGCTCACCTTCAAAATACAATATTTATAACATTAACAGATACTACGACTTCATTTACTTATCAAACAGTGTTAAAGTTTAGACCCAGGTCAAAAGCACAGCGCCTAGTTTCCCAGCAGTCATTGGAGTGCTTTCATGAAGGTACTTCTGGCTTCAGCCAAATGGTGTGCGTGCGCTGTGGCGGCGGGTTGACGTGAACTCTTCAAGTGTAAAAGCCAGAATCAGAGTTGAGAGTAAGAAGTTAATATTTATACAGTTACACTCACAGGTTTGATTTAGTGACACTTTGTTTTTACACTCTGTTTTAGCACCAACTCTTTATCAATCGGAGTAAAACCAACTCTGCTGCTACTCATATTTCACTTCGCAGTTCCGTGCATGAGTGTGTGTAATCAGCCGTTTGGCCATACAAAGCGTATGACTTTGACTCTAGAGACTGTGGTTCACATCCAAAAGTCAAAAGGGTGTTTGTTTTAACCTTGACCGTCATCTTCCCTGGTCTTAACTTAACTGTTATTCTGGGTTAAAGGTTGGATTTAAACATAACTTGCTAGGTGACCAAATCGCAGAGTAATGTGTGGAATAAATTAAATAAATAAATTATATCAGGATTTGAAGTAGCTCTATCATTAACCTACTACAACTGATATTTATATAATTTAGTTAAAAAAAAAATCAACTTTATCTGACAGCAGATTTCAGTCTGTATAAACGCCCAGAGAGTAGATACAGTATTTCACTCCACCGTATCGGTGAGCTGAGCTGAACGTTGTTTTCTGTAAACGAACTTTCTCGCCCTGTCCACACTACTCTGTTTTTGCTTTAAAACGAATACGAAAACGACTGAAAACGCACAGCAAGTGGCCGTTCACGCACACCGGGCGTGTGTTATAAAGTAATGCAGACGAAGAAACACACCAAATTTTTTTTTTTACATGGACCAATAACGAGCTGGGACTGTTACTGAATGTAACACGGGGGGTAAAAGGCTGTGGCGTCGCAAAGTAAATAATATGACATACACATATTTTAATAAAATACCAAATCAAAAACTCTGTCAGTAGCATCGTGTTTCTGCTTTGCATGACTTATGAGACCCAATCAGAGAGCCGAGCGTGAGCGTCTGCGTCATCGTTTCTAAAGTCCTCCGTTTTAGCCCGTCCGCACTAAAACGCTCTCCGGAGTTTTAAAACGAAAAACGGGGTTGGCAGCGTTTTCAAGCTTCTCCGTTTTAGGTCTTCCTTTTCACCGTTAACGTAGCAAAAGCTCTCTCGCTCTCGCTCTCACTCACTCTCTCTCGCTCTTGCTCGCTCTCTCTCTCTTGCTCGCTCTCTCGCTCTCTCTCTCTCTCTCTCTCCTCTCTCTCTCTCTCTCTCTACCCCCCATTAGTTGAAAGTGTGAACTCCTTGTCTCTGTGAATTAGATATAGGAAGCTCTCAGATATGGGAGCGAGCAAAAAAGGCCAATCAGTTTACCAAATTAAAGAGGAAGGCACATCACCCCACCCTCTCTCTTTCTCTCTGTCACTGTGTCCCCCTTTTGCTCTCTATCCTCACCCCTCCTGGCTTAATTCCCCCACCAAGATTGATTGATGATTTCTATCAAATAATTGATTAATTGTCAAATTGTGTCCCCTAAGCTTTTCCGCCAGCTCCGCTGAGCTGGTTATCTTGTTCCCTCTGCTTTTATCAGCTGCTGAAGAAGTGGCACGCCGATTAAAAATAAAAAAAAGTGAGAGAGAGAGATCGAGCTTGTCTTTGCCTTGTACGAGTCTCACCCTGTAATCCTACATGTGTACACAGAGTTCGTCAACCTCCATCCTCTTAATTGCTCTTCCTTCCTCCTCTTCTTCTTTAATCACTGCCCTTCCCTCTCTTCAGTTTTTTGTAAGGGAAGGAAAATATATCGCTAATTATTTTTCAACTTTAATTAGATCGTGGCGTGCAGGAAAAATGGCTGGGTGGCGAGGAGGTGGAGGGGGGGGGGATTTTTTTTAAGCCTTTTGACAAATTGACGAGGTTATGAATTTTCCCGCTCGGTGGCCGGTGCTGAAACAATCTTCAGGCAGATTTATTGTAAAGAGGATTTGCCGGTTTAACTCGTTTCTTTGCCGTCTCGTGGCGGATGTGGACGGCCAATCAAACAGGCCGTTAATAGAGTCATTAACAAAGAGCGGAGCTGTAATTAAACACGGCCGCTGAGTAAAGTTAAAGTCCCTCCTCCCCCTAACTCCAACACACACAGTAAAAAGTTGACGAGCTGCAGTTTGTTCTGGCTGCTTGTCACTGACGGCGAGAGGGGGTTTAATCGGGTCGTTATCGGAAACTTTCTCAAGTTAAAATAAGGAAATATATGCACATAGACACGGAAGGCATGTTTCTGAAAGTTTAAGAGTGTGAATCAGTTTGTATCAGCTGAGACGCTGAAGAGGCTGTGATAAGTTGCAGTAACTGGTGCATCATGGGATTCATTGATGTTTGCCAACTTCACGTGTTGCTGGTTTACACATGCTGTCAGCGTCATGGAGAGAGAGAGAGAGAGAGAGTTGTGACTGATTGCAGTGACAGTGTAGACGGGTGCAGAGGATATTCTTGGATTCCCTGTCACTCATTGCAGTATATTTTTGGGTGAAATGCTTCTCTTAAATGGGGGAACTTTAAAAAAAAAAAAAAAAAACTATTCTGCAACAAAGGAGATAAAGAGTCTGAATGGGATGTTTTTCCTTTTTTGGTGGACTGTCGGCACAGATGTGTGACTGACAGGCTGATGCTGCACGTTTCTGAAACGGTGTTCAGTGTCGTTTATTGAAAAGTCGGGTATCTAATGTTTTTCTAAACTTTTGATTTCCTGGCTTTTGAAATCGCCACAGGTCGTAGCCAGACATGTTGTGTAGTCAAAGGTTCTGTAGACATTGTAGAATAGTTTTTCTTAATGTAAAGCATTGTAACAATTTGTGTTGAAGGTCAACTGGTTTATCGGTTCGGGCTACATGATATTGGAAAAAACTGACATTGCAATATTTTTCTTCTCTGCGATATGAAAAAATACAGGAATTTTCACAAAATGACTTTAGTTGCCCTATTTGAAAATAATTAAACATCCTAGAAATAGTGGGGTGATTTTGTAGGGAAAATGCATAGAAAATAAACAAGTTGAAATATTTCTTTTTAGTCTCAAGACTTTTTTTGCA